TTTTTGTTTGTAATTTAGTGCCTTTATTCTACGTAGAATTATATATGCATCTAGTGAACTTTAAAATCAATTGTAATGATATTATATCATTTGTAAAATTTCCAGTTAATTTGCTTAACAAGTAATTATTTGTACCTCAAATCGTTGTAGATAAATATATAAAAATAATGTACAGATTTGCAGTTGGATCACAGTCACGGGGCTAACTTATATTAATATGCTTCCATATCGGAATCCCCCTCATGTGCATTTTGTCATTTAATTATCATATTAAGCAAAATGAATTTTAACGTCATTTATAAGATCTGTGGTAGTATGGATAAGTAGTTCCCCTGCAAGTGGGCCAAAAACACATCTTTCGTTCGAAGTCGATGACTGTTTGCCGACTTTTGTTGTTGCCGCATCTCGTGAGAATCACACGTGACGCAAAATCAAAACAAAAATCACCACCAACGATGTCCAAAGGCAAATCAAAATAATAAACACAAACAAAATAAAAACAAAAAAACAGAAAGCGTGCGCGGTGCTATTTTGCATATTCAAATAAAAACGATTTGTTGGTTAAACAGCGTCATCCGCTGACCAGTGAATCAGCTCTCGAAATCCAGTTCGATGATAAGCACTAATTGATGTGAGATAGCATTTGTGAGATTGTCTGGGTTTATTGATATGTGAGTTGGTGTTTTCCATACAACACACCACGCCCCACCCAACCATCCAGTTGGACAGTTAACAGGGACTGTGAATTGGGAAAGCAAAACTTCGCTTCGATATTATACAATAATTAGCAAAAATAAAAAACGAATGATTGCCATTTTGTAATTAATGCACATAATTGTGAGCCAGATCGATTAGAAATAAAAATACTAGTTAAGTAATGGGAAAAAATTATAAAAATGTTTTAAAATGGATTTTTAATTGTATTATTAATTGCACCTTATTCAATTATGAATAATATTCTATTTCGATTCATACAAAGCATTGCCATAGCCCTTGCAGCTTGCAACAAAAGACGACGAAAAAAAGCACGCAGAATAGAAAAGATTATTCTAGGAAGTTGCTTAGTAACACAGAACAAGGGCAACAATAGACTTGAGGAACTTTAGAACTCGAAGGCGAAGGTTAAGCGATTTTTAAAATGCCATTCATTGGGCAAATCCAGTAGTTAATGTAATTTAATCCAATGACAGAATTTCCCCGTACCTGCCTGAATGGAATATATAATGATATATATATACACCATGAACTTGATCTTAGTTATCCTGAAAGTTTCATGCTGATCGCATAATAAGCACCCAAGTTATGAGAGACTTGCAAAATAGAGCATTCCTCGTTCGCTTATAGAGAAGGAAATCCTCTAAACTAGAAAGGAGATCTTGAGAAGGCCACAATTCAAAGAGTTCCTCGACTTTTTTGTAGAATCGATAACCTACACCTTTCCTTTCCCAAGCTATGTCGCTTTCTCAATGCCAAAATTTGGCCAAACGGAACTACTTTCATTATGAGACCTGCCAATTATGATTGATGGTCAAGTCAATCCAATAAAAATAATACAAAGAAAAAAATACTCTACATAAGTCTACAAATTTTGGTTGGTAAAACCGTAACTTTTTGTTGGCATGTCAAATAAAAAGGTGGACTACGTGACTGCCTCAAACATTTATGACTTTATTATAGTTTTGATTAGAACAAAAAGACAAAAAAGAATTTAATTCAAATGTAGTTTCCAACTTTTGCCGGCCTGTGCGCAAAGTGCTAATTATAGAACCTAATTTGTTTGAAAAGGTTTTTTTTTTAATGTTTATGATTGATCATTAGGCAAATTCGTAGTGTAAATGTGTCTTATGTAACAATTGTCGAAAATTGCAAATGCGGAGCTATGGAATCAACCTTCAACTCTCAAAGGAGTAATTTAAAATTTCAATTAAAGTGATGAGGATAGTGAGAGATATACATATATAGATGTATATATATATAGAGACGAGTGAGAAGGGGCACACTTGCATAGTTGTACTTCATTTGTTTAGGTTTTTTGATCATGAAACTTCAATAAAACAAACAAACTGGTTGATCAAGTTGCCCGGCGGGAACGGAGACAGGGCCGGACTGGGCTGTTATTAGAAGCTGCGGCCAGTCAGCCGTTAAAGGGTCATGGCCAAGGACAAGGAAATCCCAGTGAATGGGTTCTCTGTCTGCCACAGAGCTGTGAATCACGATTCTACAACTCAACGACTCAACGACTCCACGACTCTCAGTCTCCGGCTGCGTTTCTAGCTCTACAATTTTGTTACTTTTAAAACCTTGAGCCGAGCAGCATTCGTTGCTGTTCTCTTCTATACTATATTTAATAACTTTAGAATGAGTTGTGCACAATTAAATTTAAATATTAAATAAAAGTTATATTAAACAGTAGCTTTTAAATGTTTGCTTTAACTAGGCAACCGAAACAAAGAACAATCGCAGACCAATTAGAAATTAAAGTCGGAAGAACTACATACTACTGACACGTATATTTTTATGTAGCCCAAGTAAAAAAACAGATCTAACACGTTGATTGTATAGTATATGGACGGATATTGAATGCATGCAGTTAAAAAGTGCACGAACTGAATTCTTGAAATTTTATTATAACAATTACATGTAATTTTTTTGCTTAGATACTAAAAAAAACATAAATATTTTTATGATATCAATTATATGTAATTTGTCTACCCTCTTCTTGAGGGTAGTATAGTTTAGTTATGTAATGTGTAACACATTAAAAGAGTCCGTCAATTAAGTAATGATCTGATTTGATGTCATAACAACTAGGATACATCAATATAAATATTTGTGAGTCGCTGATAAGGGAATCAAGATCAGATCAGTGACAATTAAACTAAAATGAATTTCAGAGTACCTCAGTACGTTCTATCGAATATGCAATTACCTTTTTTTTATGTTCTCTAATTTGGATATAATTCTAACCAATTTTTAATTGTCTTTGAATTGCATAACTTGTTGATCATCTCATCTGATAGTTAGCGTTAATGATTGACAATTAGCTGATGCAACATGTGGAGAAAAAGAATTTTAGATTGATTGTCAGACATTTAACATCTTACTAGGGAGACCTTTTACATATGTACTATAAACATTAAGTGTATACGATATATGCCATGTGATATTTCAGCTCCACCTCCGAATTTTCTTAGTCATTCGATTATTAGAAAAACAACATGTGTACAATTATCTTCGAATTCGTAAAAAGTTCATTGCGTTTAAAAATGTTAATAACTTTATATGAAGGCACTTAGTCATTAGATAGCTTATTAGCTCATTAATTAATGCTCATTATCGATAAGTTGTAATGTAATCTGTAGATTTGATCATCGGCACTGCTAGTTGCTGACTTTTTTTGTTGGCCTGCTGCAAGGATGACCGCATTTGCAACAGCAAGTGCAACAATTCGATCGACTCCAAATGTAGATCAATGGCAAATCGAGCTGCTAACTCTGAATTTGGTTAAATGCGAGACTAAAACTCTAAACTAAATGTCATTCAAATGCTCCAAGATCTGCATCCAATTAGACACCAGCCTCGCCAGCAACTACTACTTGAGTGTAAGTGTGTGTGTGTGTGTGGTTGTGTGTGTGTTTTGCTGTGTATTAGTTAGTGTTATCAGGTTACAGGAATTAGAATTAGTCAGTCACTTAGCCAGTTAGCCGGTTAGACAGTTGTTGACAATTTGCCAGATGTGTTGATATTAATACATATTAATTTTAATGTGTTACATTTACGTAAATTAATTTTAAGTATACCTTTATGACAATTATACTACTGAATAGAGTCAGAGTATATTGGTTTTGCTTTCAGGTATAACTCTGCTTGCAATAATAGTGTTAAGATTAGGAAAAGAGAATTTACTTCTTACTTGGCATACTTTACCTTCTTAAATCATATCTATGGCATTCTACATCATATTTCTAATTCCAATTAAAGCAAATTGTAAATTCAATTCAGTTACATTCCGTTTTTAATCTTTGGTAGCCAGCAACTCATCACTTCTCTTTACATTCAACAAGAATGCTAAAGCAAGGCACACAAATGCACCCCCACAATTTGAATGCCACTTTCAGAGTATTCAACAGTTCAACCAGACTCAAATCTAATCAAAATTGCTGTAGGCAACCACCTTCTAATGACCCCACGGAGTTCCTGCTCGACTTTCCAATTGGTTCTTGAGCAAATCTATTATAAGTGGTATCCGCTTATAAGTAGATCTATTACATATTTCAAATACACAAACATATATGTATATATATGTGTGTGTGTGTGCTGTAAGTATAAGTATGTATGTGTATGGAGATTGGGGGTTGGCACACACACGGCGTATGCGCAATGTTGAAGCTGAGGCTGGGATTTTGTGTTGTTTATAATTTTTATGACTTGTTTAGGCTTTTTTAATGACGCGTTGAGAGACCGCGACAAATCCAAATATTTGTTTTGTCGTTGCGCACGCGCTTGTGTCTTAACCCAAGCAACAACAACATGACTTACGGCAACAACAACAACAACAGCAGCAACAACAGCAACAGCAATGCCAAGCGCCGTTCTAGCTGCCGCACTTGAACTTGGTCGAGTCAGAAGCAGCAAGCCCGCTGTCGACCCACTGCCGACGTTATTGCCTTTGGTGAGAGGAAACCCCACAGCAGTAGCAATACCAACATCACCAGCAGCAGCAGCAGCAGCAGCACCAGCAACAACAACAATGACAGTCACAGCAGCAAAAACCACAGCAACAACGACAACAACAATAACAACAACAGAAATCAGAGCTGTGCTCCAGCTGTGCTCGGTTAACAACTGTCTACGTCACAGCCGCGTCATGCGAAAACCTGTCGCTCTGCGCTGCTGCTGGTGTCGGCTTGGGTCTCGGTCTCGGTCGTCGTCGACGTCGGCGTCGAAGTCGCTGCTTCGGGTCTGTGGGGTATTTAAGCGCTGGCAACTGAACCTGGGGTATGCATTGATTCGCTAACATTCGCTCTAAAGACTTGCCAAGCCCTCTGTGTGGTCAAGTAGTTTGCTGCCCTGTTTGTTGTAATAAAATTGTAGCCAAATTCCAAAAAGGATTTAACAGAAATTCCCAACTCCCCTCGAAAAGTTTTCATAAAAGTTTCGAGTGTCGCGTTAAGGATTAAAAAAAAAGATTAAACACATAAAAACCATAAACGTGCTGTGATTTGGAGAATTCTTCTGTTCAGGCTAAATTCTAGACGCAAACAGTTTAGTTCCAAGAGCGTTCGCCCAGTCCAATAAGCAGTGAAAGTGTTAAATATTTCGAGTGCTTATTGCTAAAATCAATTCAATCAAAAAATAAAATAGTATTCAAAGCTCAAAAACTTTGAATAAATTTTTTTAAATCAAAACTTCTAATACAAGTTAAAAAACACACAAAACAAAAAATGATGGCCGTTGCAGCTGCTCAAAAGAATCGCGAGATGTTCGCCATTAAGAAATCTTACAGTATTGAGGTAAGTGTTTAAATAGCCTAAAGACCTAAAGATCATGTATATAAGTCAAGCTAAGTCACAGAGAGATGTGTGAATTGTGGTCTACGTGACTATCATAAGGTTTACCAAAAAAAAAAACACAAACAAACAGAGAAATTAAAAAAACTGCGACAAATCTAGTTGATCAAATTTGTGTTGACCTACTACAAACAATCCTGCTGATGCCGATGGCTTCACACACATCCAAGAACAACAACATATGTCATACAGGTGCTTTTAATATGACAATGTAACAAAGTTATTATTTAACAATTTTAAACACTCGAGACAACTTGAGAGATCTGAGTGAAAGTGGCCGCCGCCTCATTTGCCCTGCACTTACACCACAGACGTCGCTCATTGTTGATCTGTCGACGCCGATGTTTATGTTGTTGTTGATTGTTGTTGCTGTTGCTGCTGCTGTTTATGTTGTCCGAACCGAAAACAAAAATATGAAATCAATAAAGATGATTCAATGGCTTCCCAGGTCTTTCATCAGCCACAAGAGAAACTGTGAAAACCCGAAATTATTAAAAAAAACTGCAACTCGCAGTCAACATTAATATTTTTTTGTTTTTGGGACATTCAGGTTAGGGTCTGCAGCAAGCCAGATAGAATAGCTTAATCAAAACCCATTCGACACTGCCTGCCTAATAATGAATGAATGGCTTCAGTTTGTCAACGATCTTTGACATCTTTTTTGTCTGTTCGCTTTCACACACACCTCACAGCTTCAAAGTTTACTGTGCCTACCACACTTTCATTATATAAGCCACATATTGCGCAACATCATTGCATGTGTGTGTGCTTGTGTGTGGGTGGGCAGCAGGGGCACAAAAGTTAGTCGAACAGCTAATTTCCGTAGCATATCCTTTGTTCAAAGCACAACTTTAATTTGAACTTCATTTGCAGAATGGGTATCCATCCCGTCGCCGCAGTCTCGTGGATGATGCACGCTTCGAGAGCCTGGTGGTCAAGCAGAACAAACAAACGGTCCTCGAGGAGGCACGCAGCAAGGCAAATGGTAAGTTCAACTCACTAATATACTGATTTAAGTAAGAGCTAGCCAAAGATTTTATTTTGAAATCACTTTGAGTTGTTTGCTTATTTTTGAGTTTTATTTTGATTTCCTTAACATTTCCTGTTTTTTATTTCTTAATTTTATTTAAAGACGCCTCGCTTGAGGAGTGCATTCAGCAGGCAAAGGGCGACCATGTGCCCGCCGAGCAAAAAGTCGAGCTGCAGGACGAGCAGCCCAGCTTGGAGCTGCCCGTTGAGGATGAATATGTTGCAGGTGCTTATCGCTTCCACAGCCTGTTGCAAATGATTTTTATTATTTGCCACCAATTTGATTTCCTTTTTATTTATATTCGTTTTTTTTATGCTTATTATTTCGTTGTGTTTAGTTGATGATATTGAAACTGAAGCGCCGTTTGACACTAATGCCGAGCCAGCCGATGATGAAGTGCCCACCAAGAACGGTAAGAATGGGCGTGCCACAAATACATATGTATTACTATATAAGTACCACAGTTGGGCAGAGTGTGGCGTGAACTTAAGTGCTTAATATGATAAAGTGCTCAGCACTCAGCGACAATACGACTCTCGCTATGTGTATGAATTGGACTTGTGATTTCAATTGTGTGTGTGTGAGTGTGCGCCTAAGAGGCTACACCCACACCCACACACACACAGAGATTGTGATTGCCAGATTCAACAGGGTAAATGGCGCATTTCCCTTTTTTCATATTTTACGCTCGACTTAAGCGCTATGGCAACCAACTGTGGCATCATGAGTGGGCGGTATATTATTGTGGGCTATGGGCTATGGGGCATCCTCACGTAGCCAACTTATTCGTTTACGTGACTTTTAAAGCCGCTTGACGTTTTGCTGATTGCCTTTTCTTCCCGTTACCTCAATGTAATTGCAGATTATGGCCTCACCGAGGACGAGATTGTCCTGTCTAATGCCGCCTCCGAGTCCCCCGAGGCTGAGTCGGCGATGCAGCGTGCCGCTTTGGTGGTCCGCCTCAAGGAGGGCATCTCCTCGTTGGGTCGCATCCTCAAGGCGATCGAGACGTTCCACGGCGCAGTGCAGCATGTGGAGTCGCGTCAATCGCGCATCGAGGGCGTAGATCATGATGTCCTCATCAAGCTGGAGATGACCCGTGGCAATCTGCTGCAATTGATCCGTTCGCTGCGCCAGTCTGGCTCCTTCAGCAGCATGAATCTGCTGGCCGAGAACAACATTAGTGTGAAGGCACCGTGGTTCCCCAAGCACGCCTCCGAGCTGGATAACTGCAACCATCTGATGACCAAGTATGAGCCCGATTTGGACATGAACCATCCTGGATTCGCCGATAAGGTCTATCGCCAGCGTCGCAAGGAGATTGCCGAAATCGCGTTCGCCTTCAAGTATGGAGATCCGATCCCACACATCAACTACACCGATGTCGAGGTGAAGACCTGGCGTTCAGTTTTCCGCACCGTTCAGGATCTGGCACCCAAGCATGCTTGCGCTGAATATCGTGCCGCCTTCCAGATGCTGCAAGACGAGCAAATCTTTGTCGACCATCGTCTGCCCCAGTTGCAGGAAATGTCCGATTTCCTGCGCAAGCACACCGGATTCTCACTTCGTCCAGCTGCTGGTCTGTTGACGGCTCGCGACTTCCTCGCCTCGTTGGCCTTCCGCATCTTCCAGAGCACCCAGTATGTGCGTCACGTCAACTCGCCGTACCACACACCCGAGCCGTAAGTAGTCCACCCCCATTATCTACTCGTTTTGCATAACATCAAAGGCGAAAAAAGCTTTCTCTGCCCTCTAATTGCATTTGCCAGCCATTTGTGCTGTGGCTCGAAGCAGCAGCTTCCGTTTCCGTCTGCTTCTGCTTCTGCTTCTGCTTCTGCTTCTGCAGTCTGGCCAACTTTTTGATTGTGCTGGCAAATTAGTTTAGCCCAGCACTTGCTGAGCTATTATTTAGGGGCTAATTGTTTTATGTGCACACACACATTTTGTAACACGTTTCCTTTGCCTTTGTTCTGCTCTCTTCCCTTCAGCGATACCATTCATGAGCTCTTGGGTCATATGCCGCTGCTGGCGGATCCTAGCTTCGCACAGTTCTCCCAGGAGATTGGACTGGCCTCGCTGGGCGCCTCCGATGATGAAATCGAAAAGCTATCCACGGTTAGTACTTAACTCAATTGCCATTGTCTCATTACTATGGCCTTAATCACTGGCGTTAGCCATGCTGTCAAGTGCATGCATGAGTTGGCCATTTAGCTGAACAGGTGTATTTATGTATTGCATTTGGTTTACTCTTTGTCGTTGGCAGGTCTACTGGTTCACTGTTGAGTTCGGTCTCTGCAAGGAACACGGTCAGGTCAAGGCCTACGGCGCTGGGCTCTTGAGTGCCTACGGCGAGCTGTTGCATGCCATCAGCGATAAGTGCGAGCATCGTGCTTTTGAGCCGGCAACTACCGCTGTGCAGCCGTATCAGGATCAGGAGTATCAGCCCATCTACTATGTGGCCGAGAGCTTTGAGGATGCCAAGGATAAGTTCCGTCGCTGGGTGAGCACCATGTCGCGTCCATTCGAGGTGCGCTTCAATCCACACACCGAACGTGTCGAGATCTTGGACTCGGTCGACAAACTTGAGACTTTGGTGCATCAGATGAATACGGAGATCTTGCATTTGACCAATGCCATTTCCAAGCTGCGGCGCCCATTCTAGAGTAATAACCATGCAAAATGCTCTAAACACCAATCCTCCCAAAAAACAAAAACAACCCCTAAGGAAAAAGAAAAACATACAGGTGCAACGGTCTCATTTTATACAAATTAATTTTAAATTGACATACCACACACACACATACACACACCCACACACACACATACCCTTTGAAAAAATTATGAATTGAAGCACCGCAATTTTGAATCAAGTCTTGCATATTTTTTGTTTCGTTTTGGATTCTTTTATGTTTTATTTTTTCCTTCTCACCTCACACCACACACCATACACACATTTATTGTTCAATTCACAACCCACAATAACTTTGTGCATTGCATATTTATTATCCCCCACTAAATAATATTGGACCAAAAAATCGTTAGACTTGTAAGTGATGTGAAACAAAAGATAACAAACAAAAAAAAAAAGAAAAGAAAAGAAAAACACTTCAGCACACAGATTAGTAGAAAGCACAATACAACCGCTGTATACTCAGCCCACATATTGTTTTTGTATTATTTTCATATAATTCTATTACTTAAAATGCATATATGTGAACGCGATCAAAATATACATTCAATAGCTTAAAACAGTTTAGCATTCTATACACTATATAAATACAACTGTATTTGTATTCTTGTAGTGGATGAAATATTTGATGAAAAAGTTGAGATGAATTTTCTTACATTGTACAATAACTGGAAGCGACAATATTACAATTGTGTACTATTATTATTATCTATTATTATTATTTGTATGACTATTATGTATTGTATTGTAGGTATGTAGAGTTTATTATTTTACTTATCTTAAGTTTTGTGTATTAATAAAGTTTAAAATACTATTGAAAAATTACTTTTTACACATTTTTTTATTTATATTTGAGTTTTTTGATTTTTTCAGCAACTATTTCTTATTATACTCTAAAGTCTGATTCTGATTAGGTAACATTTACGAGGGGATAAATTAATATAATTTTGTGGAATTTAATAAGATTGCGATATATGTTAACGATTTAGGGAACAACGATTTGAAAACATGCAAAAATACATAAGGGAATTTTAAAGCAGTATTTTACAAATATATATTATGAAAAAATATGAATATTTACAAAAATATGGTTTGTTGAAACTTCCATCGTTGTAATGGATTATAAAGAATTACGATATTTTGAAAAATATAGCCACAAATATTTAGAGCTATTAAAAGAGTTAACTAGAATTTCGGGAACAAATATCTCTATACCAAATATCTATCGCAATTATCGTAGTATCAATTTTATTGCTGGTTCTTGTTGAAAATTATTAAAAACAAGTGTAAACATTCAATTAAATATCAATGCTTGAAGATTTTACATATTAACCAATTTAACAGTATTTAAATGTTACTATATGATATACACACATATACATATATGTGGTATACACACATATACACATATATATATTATACAATATATACATTTAAGGGCAGCAGGTTGGTCCCCATGCTTGTCGAGAAAGCAGGCTGCAAGAACAATAATTATATTCAGTAAAAAGTTATCAAACAGAGAAATACTTAAACATACTCAATGAACTCATAAACAATATAAATATATATATACGTACATACAGATATTATATGCTATACAAAATGAATTTCAAGCAATAGCTTCAATAAAGCTGACTTTATTCGCAAAACGCAATAGTTATCGAGATATTTATTTGCTTCGGAGGAATATATGTGATCAGCAGGGAGGGTAAGTACGATGATAAGGCCTTCGTATGATTTTAGCAACAAATTATTAACCCTGAACCTTTCAATCGAAACGGATGTTTATATGTATAGAAAAGTGGATCATGGATTTGGTTCAGTTTGAAGTTTGACGGATTGTATTAATAGGCAATCCATAAATTATATTTTTATAATTCTTTGCCGGCTGTTTGTTAACATGACCTACCTCAGTGTGTGTGTCGCCGATTTATAACATGGCAATTACAAAAGTCTCAACTCAACTCAATCGTTATGATAATTGACAGACTTAATAGAAATCGAATGTGTTAATTGCTGGCAGTACAATTATTACCTGATCGGATGTGGGCGATAATACCGATAAAACCGGGTCCGGGTAATACTTAAAATGAAAAACGTGCCAGCTGCCGTTCTAATAGTGTGGATAGAATAGAATCATTTCTCAATCCGATAGAATGCTTGTCTAAGAAATACCCTGTTTGACACGATTGACTCTTAGAAAAGATAATGTGGCTTATATATTCTCTAACTTGACTGCGTCAAACCCTGTAAATTGACAGGGTCTTTGAAAAGATACGAGCATAAGACATACATATATATCTCATGGATTAACTTGTTTGTTTACAGGGTATTTTATGTACATATCTATACATTTCTTCATTTAGATTATTCTTACGATTTGATTTTGATATGATAAGTTTAACATCGTTTTGAAATTCTTAACGTGGGAAATAAGTTGAGCATTATGGCACTGCCATAAATAATAAGCTTTCAAATCGTGTGTTAACAAATCTTAATTGTGTGGTTTAAATGGCATAAAAAATTGAGCTGCGACTAACAGCTGAGGCTACGAGTATGTCAGGCATTAATTGTTGTATTAAATTGGGTCAGAGACTACTTAAGAAGTATGCTGATGAGTAACGATTGACTTTGACAGCAAATGGTATACGTGCCGTTGGACAGCCCATCAGTTGGTCAGTCAGCTGGCAGTCAGAACTTGGTATCTGGTCAAAGTCAGTGACTATTTGGGTTAGGGTTGCAGGAAACGCTCTGGGACGAGCTCTGAAAGTTTATTGAACCTGCTTTGCTTGCTGGCTATGTGGTAGCTAATTGCCGGAAGTCGAATGCACATTTGCAATTAAAAGCACATTTTTATTAATTGCTTAAGAAAATAAAAAACTTAACTTAAGCTTCAATTTAACACACGACAGCTGTAAAAGATACATTAAGCTGCGAGCTGAAACGCGTTTCGTTATTGGCCCAAAACGGCCGGCCGGGCAAATCCATTTCAAATTTACAATTTGGAATTTTCAAATTTGGCTAATTAAAAGGCGCGTTAAAGTGCCAAGGCCGAGTCTGACCACGGCTTTGACAGTAGCCAATTGTAGAACCAGCTAGAACAATATTTGGTATTTGGCTAATTGAATATCAAAGTCAATGACTTACACACATTGCGCTTATCCAATTTGGTTGGCATTGTGGCCGCCATTTCGGGCCAATTAATCGCGAGATATATTTTTTGTTTTTTTTTTTGTTTTTTTTTTGCTTTTGTTTTTGTCTCTCTTAAGTTATTTAATCTTGGACTTGCCTTTGTAAAGAAAAATACTAACTGCCAGGTGTGATATTTATACAAGCTACCCATATACTATATAAATATACATATCCATTTATTTCAGGGCGTTGCTGTTTGCGGCCAAACCGTTAGCCAGATCTTTGTACACTGGTCTGGCGCCCTCGCCACCCCTCTACCCGCTGCCCGCTGCCCCCAACCACGTCTCCGTCCCCATTGTGTTGCGTAACCGAGGCGCACCTGTTGCAAATTCTAATTTAAGTGATTAGCAAATCCATATAATTGCCATTGCCTCTGTGGCTAATTAGAACAAGAACTGGTTTGACCAGGTCAGGGCTATCATGTGTGCATTGAGAATGTGGTGCGGGGGTTGAAAAGATAGTGTTTTGCCCATACATCAATTTACATGCTTGACCACCGTTTGGCTTAAGGGAAAGCAACGAGCCCACTTTACGTCTCTCTCAGTTAAGGGTAAGGTCACAAAGAAATTGACATATGGAGGACAAAGAAATGTTCAGTATGGACAGCTAAAGAAAGCAGGTTCTCTCTGAGATATGCCCTTCCAGTTCATAACCTGATCGATAATATGTTAGTGGAATTATTAATATATATATCTATAGGTTATCTAGCAGGTGAAAAACACTGACTGCACCTAACATCTGAATACATTTGTATTAAGCATTTCTTTTGGTTTAGCAAATACAATATTTGTGTAGAGAGAACTTCATAGACAGGTGCTCCCACTGACCTTGGAAACAGATGCTTTTGATTAGAGGCACTGCTTGCATGCAAAGCGACTTCCAGAACATTATTATGCCGATTGGTCCATAATTAAAAGTTATTACAGCCCCAATTGACCACATACAAGCCCAGTTGGCTAATTGCATTAAAAGCAGCTAGTCAGTGCTAGAATCAGAGCCAGGTGCTCAACTGCTGATAATCAGTTCGAACAGCTTGAGCCAAGAGCGACACCTGGCCCAGACTCGGTTAAATAGAAGGGCTAGGTTGGCTGGCAACGACCACTTTCAATCATAAATTAACATTAGAATTTTAAATGTGAGACTAATTAAAGAAAAAAAATTGTTGGGCGAAAAACCTGTGAGATTTCATGCCCCATGCTCGAACAATTACAAGAAAATTGTACATTTAATTTCCAATTGATTCGAGTGGGTTTGTTGCTTAGTTAAGTAATATCTAACACCCTGCACCCTCAACCACCCCTCCACCCATCGATAAGTGAACAGGTGCAGTCAACAGGTGAGCTTTTGGCTCACAGTTCTAGCCATAAAGTCTGCTGGTCAACGGGGCGAATGATTTGCGCTTTGGTTCTGTGTGGGTGGGTTTTTTTTACGTATGCTTCAAATTTTTGCACCAACATTTGCGAGCTTTCATTGTGTGGGTTTCAACTCAATGTCAACATTTTGGTTTTAGTTGAGCAAACATAACAACAGAGAGATGAAATGATGAAATGTCCACACAATAACTGAGCTAAGCGGTACCGGATGTTGTCTGAAAGTTAAAGTTAAGTTTGAATTAAGTTAAGTATATAGAACGGTCGACAGTTTTTTTTGTTAGGTAAGTAGATATAAGGTGACTTACACGCTTCAATGGGGCTGTTGACTTTGGCTAATTAAAACTTGTGCGCACGTGTTGAAAGTATTACGAAAGGCGCGACATCAGAGAGGTCGCCAGAAGGTTGTATTATGGTTTTGTTCGCTCGATAACATCTGCAACGAAATAAAAGTATCCTTTAAATCAATTTATATATAAGTCATGGTACTAAACTGGCACTCAAACTTATAAATAGAAAAGGTCTTAGTTGTAAGACCAGGAAACTATTTATATCTGTTAGCTACTTTTAAAACTCGGGCGATTTCAATTTTGTATTAATTGCTCTGAGATATTGCTGGAGGTTAGTAATTCTATAAAAGTATCCCTTCAAAGGATGAATACAATGACTGTGTTCTATTTGTGCGTCTTCAGCATGCATGTATTACATACTTTAAGGGTATTTGTAAGCCAATGCATATTTTTGGGCGTTCTATGAACAAAATAAAACATACTGCAATAGGGATTTATCATACTACAGCCAACAATAATAATAACAGGTTTTAAATCAGGTGTTTACAGAAAAAATGCATATAGCTGAATGTCCATCTATTGTTCAGTTACACTTAAAAAGCTTTCACAAACCCAAGCTGCATGCTATGAAACTGATGTACAGTGTTTGCAAGAGAATTTTTAAAACAAGTATGTAGTAAAAATTGTACTACTACACGCTATATACGATCTATTTGATAAGAAGAGTACTCTTAATACTTGCAAATTATTTCTAGGAGCATATTATGCGAATGTAGAATTAAATATGAACCCGACTTTATATATATTTTGTACAGAATAAGCTCAAACACAGGCTGATTGCTATGAAACTGGAATACAATTTGCAACAGAAAGCTTTCAATGCGTAGGAAAAAGCGGCAGACAAAAGTATGCAGCTAACTTTGTTATTATGCAATGCTCAGCATTATTTCGTCGAGATACAGTGAGCCGAATCTTACTCTAAGATGAAGACACTTTTGAATAAAAGAATATAATCATTGGAGATCCTTTTAAAAAAGTATAATTTTATTTAAACAAATTTGATATCAGTCTCAGTCTTTTGGCAAATTGCTATCGCTCTTTCCTCTGCTGTAGGGCCGGGAGCCGCCAAGCATGCGCTCCAGGAGGCTCTGCTTGGACTTGCGCTTGCAGGCTAGGACCTCCTTGCATAGTTCATTGAATACTTCGGCCACCTGATCAACATGATCCGCCGCAGAGACCTCACTGAACTTGCACTCAAAGTCTTTGGCGAGTATTTCGCCCTCATCGCGGCTAACTTGACGCAGATGAACCATATCCACTTTGTTGGCGCAGAGCTGAACGGGTGTATCCGATTGTAAATCGGATTTGGCACGGCGTATATAGTTGAAACTCTTCCGATCCGTGATGGAGTAGACGAGCAGCAGGCCATCGGCCCATTGGATCAGTTCCGCAGCATTTGGATATTCATCATCGGCCTGCCATTGAGATATTTATTGAGTGTTTGTTCGTAAGATACGGATATTAGATCAATATCTTTAGCTACCTTGGGACATGTGTCGAGCAGTTCAAAGAGCACCGGCTCATTATCCACCATGGATTCGTGCTTGTAGCGATTCTCAGTCTGATGATCGTATTCGCCAATATAACGTTTTGTCAAGAAACGCACAATTAAAGCTGCAATTAAATTAAATAACACAATTTAATTTTAGGGCGTTGTTGTCCATCGCTATAAGGATCAGGTGTAAACGAAGCCAACGCCCCTGACAAGAAGGGGGACACAAGCCCTTAACTGCATTGGGTCAGCACTTAAGCGAGCGTGAACAGGAAAACTCCATATACGACATAGGAAAATTCAAATGCGGCTGGGAAAAAGCCGCCGCAAGGCAGGTGGAAAAAGGAACAAATAAAAAAAATTTAAACCTTGAGGGGTTAATAAACCCGGCAAAAGCAACAACAATACATTTGAGCCTTAGCATTGCGTGTCATAAGGAAACAAAGCAACGGATGGTTTGTAGGTGGGTGAGTGGGGAGAGGGGTTGAAGTGACGACCTGAGCATTTGGTCATTTGCAAATGCAAGTGCTTTGAACTCTGACCAAGTCGGGCAGGCTTGCGAAAGAATGATAATATATGCTCCTCTGGCACGGTTAGGTTGCTTTGGCTCGTAAAATAGTCCAAAATACCACCACCCTCACTTATCTTGCCCCCCGGCAATTTTTAATGACATTTTCATCATTTATTTTCATGGCAGCCGCACATTTGGCTTGTGTTTTAATTTATATCTTTTTCCAAACGTTTTGTTTTTCTACATTTTTTTACGAGGTCAATGTTTAAAATTTTTGTTTAAATTACGACAAAGACTGGCTAACGCTGGCGACGCATTGCCTGATGGGCATTCAAAGGGGGAGGTGGGCGGCATTCTTCTTAATTACCCACCACGCATAGCACCCGCCCCCCTCCCCCTTCTCGACACTCTAGTGCATTAAAAATATTTGTGCTATATCTGCGCGATTGCGGTTTGTATGATATTCGAATACTATATATTAAGGAAAACATTTATCATTGATACGATCATGTGCGCTATTAAAGTTGGCTGGCGCCTAAGAAAATCTATATACTATAAGGAATATAATTTACTTGTGTTTAGTTTATTTTTTAATGAAATACAAAACAAAAAAAAAATGCCTCGCCCAGTGAAAGCAAACAATTAACTTTACAATGTTGTGGTAGTAAAGAATGTAGGTGTTTTCGATAAGATTTGCTCTTGATGATTATAAAAGTGTCTGGTGTAGAAAATTGCACATGAAAGCTGTTGTTTAGCAACTATTAGTAAGCTGACAAAACAGCTCAACAATCGGTCTACCCTTTTAATAACCATTTTAGAAAATAAACTGATCAGGTTTTGATTGAAATGCTTAAATTATGCTCCCATAAAGTGCTTACAGGGATGGCTCAAAACTGGTCACTGCCATAACTTCGTTATAAGTGATTCCATTATCAAAAGAAAGGTGTTTTTAAGGGGCTCGGCACAGCTGTAACTTTGGCAAAAGTGATTAGATTTTCAAAAGGAAGGGCTTTTTGAGCATAGTTTGGCCTCTAGATAAAACTTACATTAAAAGTTCAAAACATGATTCTGGGTCGAAACTCATGTAAAATGAGTCAAAGCTTGCCAAGCCATTGCTTGGGCAAAACTGATCTGTGTTTCAAAAACCATGTTTTTTTTCTTAACATGACTTTGCTTTTAGATTGAGACTACATTTAAAATTGAAAACGTGATTTTAGGATGGTCGCATGTATATTTATGCTGTCTAAATTAGCTGCATCTATTTGATATTTATTAGTAGAGCATGTCCTCTAGTCATAATTCTTAGGGGGCTTCGTTGGCGGATTAGACGTTCCCAGGCATATAAGGCAGCTACTTGCTGCTACCTGAAGTTGACAGAAAGTCGTTGGGGGGCCTACAAATGAGAACTATTTGGGGTCACCATTGTACGTGATGGCTGTGACAGGGAACATCAATTTGCACTAAGTCAATGTGCAATGTGGCATATGATGATCCCGTACCAAATATATATCCACATCTGTATGTGTGTGTGTGGTGGGTGTGTGTGTGTGGGTGTGGGTGTGTGTGTGTGACACAGTGCCCGTCATAAATTAGTGGCTGCTCCAGGGTGCCACGCGTGTCAAATCGAACGGTGAAAACGATTACAACAAAAAGGAAAATGCGAGCTAGTCAAAGGCACCGACAGATACAGATACAGACACAGATACAGATACAGATACTACATATACATGTAAGTATATTTAGCGGCACGCATACACAGACACATACAGAGATACATGTGTATATTTGTATGTGTGTATGTGTGCATGCTGGCACTTTATAAACAAAACAAACAACGATCTAAATATATACGAATCGGCGATTGCTCAACTAATTTGCTGTTGCTCGCTGTTGTTTTCTAACACCCGTATCGGTTCTTTTTTATATTTATTTTTTTGGGGGGAATAACACTGGCTTCTTACCACTCTTTCCAACACTGGGCGAGCCAATAACTGCGATTTTCAACTCGGTCAGCGTTGACTTTTTACGCCGAATGCCGCGCGTCGTCATCTCGCAATTTTGCGATTGCCCAGTTTACCGTATTCGCTGTGCAGATATATAACTATATAGGTAGTATATAGGTATAGTCTGTATAGTATATGTATGCCGCTTGTTTTTTGGCTACGCCAATAGCAGCTATATATCCGTTTGCCGTTATTGTCTGTTTCACGTTGAATTGTGCGCCGTACGCAGCAGCAACGATCACAACAATCGACCTAAAATTACAACTGAAGTCCACAATTTTAATTTTGCATCCGTCAGATACTTTTCCACCAATGAATGTTTTCCTTTTGCTTGCTGCAGTTCTTTTATATTTATTTATATATTTTTTATATGAAACGCAAAATGCACTTTTCCATGTGGTTCATGAAATTCCTTTATTAATTTATTTATTTAGATTGAGGCAATCCGCAGCTGATCTCTGCTGAAGGTGTCTTTTGTATGTTTGTGTGTCTGTGTGTGTGTGTGTTTTTGGCACTACCCGCAAAACGGCATGCGATTTGTACGACTAACGAATTTGTACTAAAGCGTACATCTGTGCTACGCCAGAACTGAACAGAGCAGAACAGAACAGAACTGGGAGCACAGATCGCCAGCCACACGCTCCCTGGCAGTGGAAAGCTTCTGCTTTATTTTCGCGAGCGTTGGCTATCCAAAAATAGCTGGCCGAATAGAGAACGATACGACACAGGGTATTCAAATCGACCACGTGCCCCGCAATGGGGTTAAAGTTGGCTGTTTAATTAAGCCAAAAGGCTAATCGCATCGCTAAACGAAGAGTATTTGCCTCCATTCTCGCTGATTGATAAATTTGTCTGCTGCACATTTGGAGTCGAAAGTCTGCTCATTTCGAGATCATCTCGGAGAGGAAGTTCTGATTGCTGTGGGGGCCAGTAAAAGCATCCTAAATTAAATTTAATTGCTAGCGTTCCCCATCTGGGAAAGCAGCTGTTCGATTACCAACTATTTCTGGCCAAAAGAGATTAAAAAAGTGGCCTTGAAACTATTGGTTGAATATATGAAAAGAATTTCTGTCTCGCAATTGTCTTCATAAATCTAGCAAACCTTTGAATCTCAAGGGAATTTAGCTTCAAACAAAGTTACCGCAGTTTAGTGTCTCCGAAGGTAATTCAACACTTGTTAAACATAAATTTTAATTTACTCACACCAAACAGAGAACAGAAACCAAATTGTTATCAAAATCATGTGAAAATTGTTTACGAGAAAATCATTTTGGGGTTCAACGGCAGCACTGAGTTATGCAAACAGACATTATTTGTCCCTAAAAATAAACAATGCTGATTGGAGAACGTTTTAAATGTCTTTTAGTTATGCATTTTACGTACTTAATTAGGGAAATTGCGTTTGGGCATATCAATCATATACAGTTATGTATTCTATGTACATATGCGGAAAAACACCCTCTTGACAAACGTGCAGCTGGCACGTGAGTTGCCGTCTATACAGTTATGTGTGCCAGACGTGCGGCGGGGGTGTGTCTGTCAGTGTCTACCAGCCCCTGGGCTGGCTAAGGGTTGAAATTTTAGACAGACAAAACGGTCAGCACATTTCGCTTGTCGGGAAATCTTTGCACTTGCCGTGCAGGCCAACTGACAGCTGAAATTCAAAGTGCTTAGTGCTATCTCTGCAGAGAGCATTTACATATGTATACCTATTCAGCTGAACGCCACTGTGCTCAGTCAGCTCACTGATACGAATTTCGTGGAAACGCATAAGCCAATTTTGTTTTGCTGTTTTTTTTATGGCAAATGTCATGCTTAGTTTTCTTAGCAGGGTCAATATAAGTCAAGTCTGATTTCTCGGCTTGTGTACATTCTCTACATGAACTTGAGTCTCAGCTATAAGTAAACTAAATTTGATTTAAAATATGTAATTTGCAGGTATACAATTTTAGCTGCTATACAAACATAAGAAAACAATTAACTTATCACAAATCAACCTTTCAGTCGAATTGTCGTATAATATTAATCAGCTATTTAATATAATCCAAGCCACCCTAAAGCACAACTACTCTTTCTAATATAAGACACAAGATCAGTTAAGTAATCATAAAATACCTATTCAACTAAGTTATCGCATAATATTAATCAGTCAACTAATTTCATTGGCCACCCCAAAAGACAGCTCCTCTTTCTTATATTAAGCACGCTTTTCATTAACGCCGCAAAGACTGCTATTATTTTTTATGTACATTTATTTTTCTCTCTTATACAAATTCGAATTTCATTGCTGGCCACTTAAGTCACATTGGCACAGTAGACTAAAACGGAATAAACAGCTGGCCTGCTCGTGTTGTTGTTGTTGTTGCGGTTGTTGTTGCTGCTGTTGTTGCTGCTGTTGCTGTGTGGTTGTGGTGGTGCTTGGCAGTGACAATTGGCATCGCTTCTGCTTCTGCTTCTGCTACTGCTTGGCTGCTCGAGCGCTGCGTTTGGTTCAGTTTTCACTCGAACGGCGAAGCGTTTGGAGCGCACGCGGAACGCGCACGGGACCGCAACGAAGCAACATTTTTTGGCTACAGCTGCCGCCAAAAAAACCAAAACATGTATATATAAAAATACAAAAAAAAAAAACAAGAAATAAAAACAAAAACAAATATATAAAACGATTTTGAAAACGCCGCGCAACACAAGCTTTTTTCGGTGTGTGTGTTTTTGTTGTTTTAGTTTTTAATGTTTGTCTGTTTTTTCGCCGATTGTTTTGTTTTTGGTTTTACGAAATTTATTTTCGTAGTTTTCAACTATAGAAAATTACTGTGCGATCTCTTTTATTGATGTTGTTGTTGTTGTCATTAATATAGCTGGTCTTCTTCTTATTGTGCTTGGCGGTGTTGAATTCAAATAATTAAGTTGAAAAATTCAAATACAAATAAAATACGCATTCGTTGCGACAGTTGTGCGGATACCGAAACAAGTTTTTGAAACATTGTGCGTGAGTTTTTGCAGCGTGTGCTCGTAAATCAAAATAAATTGGCACCCTTATAAATAGAAAGGAAATACCATTTACCAAATGAACTGGCAATTAATATTTGAATCATTGTTTAATTGAAAAATGTAAACAATTTTGGCAGCTGAACATTAAAATGAAAAGAAATTTCGGCAATTGCAGGAAGCAATATAAATTTATTTGCATTGAAATTTGAATCAAATTTGATTATATGCACATTTCTAAAAGAACTGGCAAAGTGCGATTTTTGAAAATCTCACAATTTTCTAAAAATTAATATGTATAAAGCAAATGAGTAAAAGTGTTGTTGTGTCGAGTTCTTAACTAGCCGATACCCTGCTGTCTACTTTTGATTATGTTTATGTGTCATTTCCTTAAAGAACTCTTGTAAGCCTTAAGGAGAATGCCTTACTTTCTGAGGGAGAGAACGTGAATCACCTCTGATTCATAGTTTTTTCTGAATCAGATCAAATTCAACCACATGACTAACTTTTAAACTAAGTCTGACCTCTTTCAAATACCATTTAACATCCAGTATATATGTTTGTATAATCTTTGTATATATTTTGAGAAACACACACACATACTCTGTAAGGCAATCAAACCCACTCAAAAGTTGTGATGTCATTTTTTGGCTGCGGTCATTTCAAATGAACTTAAGAGCGTAAAACAAAAACCCAAAGCCAAACATCAACTCAACTCAACACTGCTGCCTTGCCGAGAGTTAGCTCAAACCCGTTTTTGCCTGAGGACACGCACATGGAAAAAAGGCGCAAAGGGTGTTTGCGGAGGCGGGGAGGATCGATTCGGTTCCATTCCGTTCCATTCGCATGTTGCATTCGTTTCAAGGATATTGAATACAGTCCGAGTCTGAGCTGAACACAACTGAAGAGTTACGAATGAAAAAGCTATATGTGAAAGACATGAAAATGAAGTCATCAGCTCAATTCAGAGTATCAAACAAGTTAGAGTGATCCAGTTTTGAAGGCACGACTTGGAGATGCCCTGTAGCCCATTTAGATGTAGACAAATAAAGATTTGTTTATTGCTTTCTTGTTGTTATTTGAATAACTTGTATATTGCTTAAGGGAGTCTTCTATAGTTCTGCTAATAAATAAAAGAACAGAAACAATAAATAACAAGATCTGTGTTAGGCAAAAACAAACAGATCCTTTTGGTTATTTAAGTTGCTGAAGAATCTATATACTTTATAAAATCAGATTCTGGCAAATACACAAGCACATAAATACAGGATATGAAAAAATCAATAAAATATATCTGGAGCATCAACCAACATATACAGATTTAGAAGCAAATTATTTTTACAACTTTTCCAGTCTTACGCACTGAAAATGCAATTTTCGCGGCGACTGCCTGGCGCCGGAGCAATGAGAGAATTACTCGGTGCACCCTTTTATGCTGCACCCCCTGCACTCTCTGCATCCTGCAGCTGGCAACTGTGTGGCAGGAAGCTATGTTTGGCCAGCTCACCTCAAACGCATTTTGTCGCTGCTTTTAGCATTTTCTACACCATTTGTCCCAGTAATTTAATTAGAGCAGCTCGACAAAGTGAAACGCAATTGACGCAAGGATAACTAGCGGCAGGCACCAGCGGGGGGCGCTGTGGGGTATTGGGAAGGAGGTGGGAGTTGAGTAACCTTGGTAACTAATTGCTGGCAGCCGCGAGGGGAGCATTAAATGACAAATGCGTGTGAACGACCGACCAACGGCAACCGACAATGGAAACCGTTACGCAATCCTGGCAAGGACAATGAAAATTGTATTTTAAGTATATCCTGTACAAATATTAACTCAAAGATACCCAGCTAACGTGGTTTCAAAACTACTGCATTGCTTTTGAGTACAATTCCAGATTGCTTTTTATCTAATCCTTGCAAAGCAAACAGCTCTCGTGCACTGGGTATCGTTAAGTCGTGCAGCGTTTTTATTTGATTTTTATAGCATTTTTATTTTTCGCCGATGACGTCGTCATCGCATTGGAACATGTTTGCACTATGGCAACCTTGCCACATGCAACCATAATATGACATAGTTGCTGGATGAGGAGCCTTTTTGAATGCTGAATGCAAATGGGTTTGTGGGTCTCTGGAAAACTGGGACTTGACAATCAATATTTGGAATAATAAGAATACCCAGTATTTTTTGTTCATCATTTTGATTTATCCAAGGATTCGTTCTGACTGTTTTTTCTAACCCTCCCTCGTGGCTAATATTCATCCCGTCAACAAATTGAGTAATTTATCTGTGCACAAAAGAAATAGCACAAAAGAAAGGTGGCAACAAATGCCGCTATTTGAGAAATAACCACCCCTTTCCTTTGCCCTCTAGCCCTCCAGCTCTCTTTCTCTCTCTCTTTTTGGGTAAGAGAAAGCTGGCATTAAAATACTTATACACAAGGCGTGCCATTAATAAATAAAACGAAAAACAATAATCTACGCAGCACACGGCGAAAAAACGACACGAAATATTTGCTAGCATTGAATAGAAAGCAACCCCATGTGCTGAGTGTGCCGAAAACCACCCCTAGGCAGTCGCAGACAATAGAATCAACAACCACCCCCAGCTAAGATCGCAACAAATACTTAAAGACACTTTCCGAGCATTACAAAAAGACTGTATTTTTTCTTAGCTGATACGCAAGCTTGAACTTGAATTCGCGACGACTTTTTAATAGAGATCTGTTTGGCAGAAACCTGACAAACAACTTTAGAGCTTTAAACCGGCAGACAACAGGCATTCTAATGGCAAACAATGGACGGCTCAAGACAGTGAGCAGAGAGCCACCTGGGCAGGGGAGAGGTGAGGTGAGGTTTCGCAAGCGCAGACATAAAATGAAATGAACAAAAGGCAAAAAAATGTATAAAAATAAGAGATAATAATAAAATTTAAATCACAAAAAGACGACGCAACGAAACGAGAAGCGTTGGAGTGTATCCGCTACATATGTACATATGCCTATGACATCATTCGTGTCTCATTACTGAACTAACCCAAACACACAACCTCTTTCTCATTTTGTTCTTTCTGTGTTTTGCGTTCGTTATTATTTTATTTTTTTGGCCAAGTCCAATTATGTCAGCTATAGCGTCTATATTTTCTGAACTTGTTAGTTCGGATTTACTTACGAGACATTATGAACTCGTCTGTCCGTACTACATCTGTTGTCGATTTCCAAAAAATAAAAAACAATGTGCTGCATATGTTCATATATGAATATCCATATATATTTATATGTATATGTATTTCATTTGTATGCTCTTATGTCAGCCGTAGGATAAGTCTTGAGTATGTATTGTGTGTGTGCATACTTTCAAGCATGTCTGTCAGTCGGCTCCTTGATTTAATGAGCATATTTTTAACTTTCAATTTATGCTCGAAGGTTGTCCCATAAAGAATCTTATGAAGCTACAAATCTTAATGCAATACAGATTTGCTTTAAAGGCATCCAAATGGATTGCAGATACTCTTGAAATGTTTCATGATCTTTCATATAAATTAAGTCCCATTAAACTGCATAAATAGGAATAGTTTCATAGAAGTTTAACGATATTATTTACATTCTAAAAATATAAGTGTGATTTTTCAATAATTCGGTCAGTGTTTGCATTTGTGTAATACATAATTTTGGCTTCTCTGTGTCATTCAGCCTCATGCTCAAGAATTTGATGACTCAGAGAACCACCATTTGCTGCTGTCGCAGCACAGAATAGAAGAAGAAAAAACAAATCGAAAATAAAATAGAGAAATAAATGACATAGACAATGAGATGTAAGTTTTTTACACAGCAACAGAGACAGATGCTAATACTAAGAATCCCTCTAAGTAGGGCAAACTTTTGCAGATTCTGTTTTGATTCTGTATGTATCTTTGAGGGTTTGCCAAATGTATCAAGTTGTGTGGCAGTTAAATTTGCTGATGAATTCAATGTCAGGCTAAAGTTCTCAAGTCCCATTTAATGTGGCAGACAAATCGGCTTGGACCACTTCGAATGGATTCAACTTCAACTTATCAAGAACTGGGAACGTTTTTGCAGACATGCCAAGCAACTGTTGTGCATTTATTGAGAACATGGCAAATGGTTAAGCTGGAGTAGTTGCAGGCGACCCAACGATGCGATTTCCTGTTTATTTGCTGTTGAGTGACAGTCAACGTCAAAGCTAAGTTGTAGCTACAAATGTATATTTTTGTATCTCAAGCTGACTTCTTCTTTTGTGTTCTTTCAAGCACATTTCAAGCTAAAGATTGGCGCTCTTTGTGGCCGGTTAGACACGCGAATTGCAGTTGTCGCTGCTGCTGCTGCTGCTGCTGCATTGGTAATCAAGTTTTTAAGGAACTGCGTGACTTGCCTCGAGCAACCACAAACAACACCAACACCAGCAACAAAAATCATTGACTTTGGTATCTTGGTCGTGTCACTGCCATTTGGCTGCCAACCACAAACTTGGCCTATGCATTGACTTTGATTTCTATTTGAGCCCAAAACGCGTTTGTCTTTTAAGGCAGCCAACAATGACTCAATTTTTGGTTGTTGCTTCTCTTTTGGGCACTGGCCAATTAACCAAACAGCGTAATTACTGCGCAATTGAACAATTACGTATCAATTAACAGTACTAAAGAAATACTCGTTAGCTTTTGGAGTTGCGCTCGATAGAAAGCTGCATTTGGGCGCTGCACT